TTCTCCTCAGAGACGCCGTGCGGGGTGCGGTCTCCCGCCCGGCACCCCAGGCAGCTTTCTGACAGACCGTCTTAAAGAAACGGGGGTAGTGTGTTTTTCCATTCTCCTACAGCCTGTTGGCAAAAGTGACCCCAGGGCTTCTTGTTGTAGACAGGCAGGGCCAGGTCATGGACCACGGTGACTCCACGTCCTGCTACAAGCAGAGCTGAAACTACAATTAATTTGCTTTTCTACAAAGCACTCCCAGGCCACAGACTCCTGGCACCTGCTGCACTGCTCAGCTTAGCATCTGGCTACTGCTTTTGCATCCGTTTAAATTCTGTCAATAGCTATTAGCCATTAAAAAAAAATATCCTTCAATAAAATCAAATATACTAAAATAGATGGCTCTTTGGTATTCTGTAGTCCTCTGAGGAGGACTGGTTGTGCTCCTAGGCAGAGCCATTAAACCGATTAACCCCTCCACACCCTACTTCTCCATCTGTAATACAGGGAGAGGGATGCTTATGTAGTTAATGGTGTGCAAACCTACATTTTTGCAACATCCTCTCTTTCCCTCCCCCTGGAAAAGAGATTTTTGTGAGGAGTGCTCTCGGTAATATAATTGCTGTATCCAGTAGTGTACCTGGCCTTTTAGATGAACCAAGCAATCATCCAACACATTGTTTTCTTAAGTTTCTAGAAGCTGAAAGATTTGTGAACTTCTGTATTTCACTCACATGTATTTTTCCCACCTTCTCACATTAAAGCCAGCCACTTTCCATGGATCCAACAGCTTTTCATTACCTATAATGCTGAGGGACTAATTCATTTGTCTTTGAACTACCAAAAAATCTTCAAGTAATTTTTTTGTCAGTAAACACTCTCACCTTCATAAATTCAAGGTCTCCAGTGGAGAATTAGCATTATACAAAGAACATCTGAAGCAATTCCATAGCACCCAGCTACATTTAGAGGAAGTTAAGACTGCAATCACACAGATCTTGAAAACACTAATTTAAATAGGATGAGAAGATGAAATAACTGACTTGAAAAGGTGCATCATTGCAATTTTGTTAGACATTTTAAAATGAACTTGGTTGTAAAATGCTGATTTTTAAAATGCCATGGTGATTTCACAGCAAACATTATAGGCAAAAATCCCAACTACTGGCAAGAAAAGCTCTTGAACGTAATCACCCAATGTGTGTCAAATATCATTGGACATTTGTTTATTCAAAAAGAGCAAATAAAGTGATAGGATTGCTGGTCCCAGTGGAAAACTCTTTCCAACTTCCATAAAGAGACATTTGCTACAACAGAGATTAAAGCTTTATGTGAACCTGATAGTAACAGAGAGAATTTTAAAATGGCTTCAGCAGCAAATTCAACATTAAATAGCAAACATCTCCATGTCCAGTACATTGGTTTAGAACAAAACTTCTCTGCAGACTCAGGGTAAAAACTCAAGTCTCCCAACACAGAAGACTGCATCTAACCACTGCTGCCTAATCTGATTTTCCTTGTTGGAGCCCTTCCATTTACTTGAAGTTAATACATATTAGCCCCAAATGGTAAACTACTGCCAGTGGTTCATTGGGGGATTGGGGTAGTTGTTCAAGTTTCCGGACTAAATCAGGCAGACCGGGGTCAGTGCGTTTCTGACTATGGCAAGGTGTTGTCTTTTTTCCTTGGAAAATAGAGAAAAAAGGTTCATATTCATGGAGGAAAAAAAACCAACCAAACAAACCCAAACCCCATACTTCTCTATTCTAAGGAATTACATCAAAACCAAACTCATCCATGAAATGGATATCTGTAAGAAGATCTAAATATTTTTTTTCCTCAAAGAACCTTCTGAGCACCTACAAAAAGTGAAAAGGTGTTTGGGGGGTGGAAGGAACACAGCCTGAAATAGTGAAAGATTGTTGAGAGAGGAACCTCTCTATTATTTTGCAAATGTACCTGTAAAGAAAGATATATGTATTTACAGGTTACTTACAGATTTGTTAACAGTAATTTTTATCCCCTTCACTCTGTAAATATGTTTAACTTCTTCAGCTGTTTCTTCTCTGAGAAATATGGAGTATTGCTTGTAGATACTATTTAAATAACAGTGTTTCATCTACTATTGACAGACACTGCCCTGACAAAAAAAATGTTACAGATGGAGAGACAGTGACAAGTATTTAGATCTGGAGGGTGGAAAAAAAAGCACCACTTCAAATCTATTCCATGTTAAGTCTTTTAGCAAAGTCAACATAATTTTTCTTTTAATGTTACTTGTTACAGTCTCTGCTCTTCCAGGTTAGACCCGGAGACAGAGAATCTAAGCAATTATCCACATTTGAAAGAGCTTGCCCATAGAATATGAAGGCCTCAGGTGAAACCAGCATACCAAAAAACCAGCTTGGCGACACACTTAAGAGGGACAGCAGTTACCTAACAACATAGCTGACACAGCCTTCTCCATTCAAAGAGATCATGGATTTGTACGAAAACGCATGTTCTGGCATTAGTATCTGGAGATGCAAACAACTTGTGAACTTCCAACATCCAATTTTCTTGATTCAAAGAAAATTTTCAGTTTCTGTTGGTGTTACTACTCACAAGTTCTCTCAGATTATTTGCTTCCAAAACCAAAGGCATATCTTATTTTCAGCTCACCCTCTCCTTTTAGTAGTAACTTAATTCCTTCTGAAAGAACAAGACTACTCCCAAATTCAGAAGGTGACTAAGACAAAAAGATTCTTACAAAGGAATGTTCTCAGCATTTCCTCTTCCAAAGGCATTAGAAATATCAGATTTATGAGTGCAGTCACGTGTCAAATCAGTGATACAGAAAAGAAAAAGAAAAAAAAAATTTTTGTCTCCTTACCATTACAAATGACAATAAAAAAATATCACTCAACCCTAATATATAACTTAGTATTCCAGAGATCTAAAAGTGTCTTCGAAATAAGGTAGCTAGCATCTTAGAAAACTGGCAACAGGGCACAAAGAAAGGTTGTAACTTGCCAAGGTTAGCTGCAGAACTGAAAAAAGAATAAACTTCAAATAGAGTAGGACAAGCTGTAGCCCAAAGTAGCATTTGCATATCAGAATATAGTATCACTTCTAAAAAATAGGCTAAAACCCATATGAACTTCATCAGTAAAATCTTTGGCTATCCAAATTTGACATACAGTCATATCAGAAATATTAGTGTTAACTTTGTCCAGTGAGAGGATGAAAATTTACTTCTGACACTTCAGTTTACAGTCAATTGTTAGCTAACCACCTGAACTTTAAATAAACCACCAGTGTTTAAGGAGGAAATATGTTGCAAATTGCCACTTAGCTTTCAAGATATGCACATAAGGAAGATGAAACTATAATTCTGAAATCTAATAACTTTTTTTTTAAGCACCTGGCTTTAATTTATACTTTATTTCCAAGTAGTTTTCACTTTATTTTTACAAGAACAACCTAATGTGAGCTGAAACTGGCATAATGCCTATTTACACAGCAGGTCCACGAACAGCTCTTCTTAACTCTAGTTAGGAGGGTCTATTTCCTTCTTGCTTTGCATTTCTTTCATGTTCTATATGATCATATGACCCATAAAGACATGGGTCAATTGAAATAAATTCAGAGGAAACCGGGTAATAAATTCTGAACAAACTAGAAGCAAACATGACCTGTGGGAACAAAATACCAGTAAAGTATTTGCAGTCATGAGTAAAATTGATTCAGGGAACTGGGTTAGGGTGTCCTTTTTCTTTTGACTGCAACAGCAGTGACCATGAAACATTAACTAGACTCTCAGTGAACTATTTTCCTATTTTCCACTTCCTTGGAGGGTGCAGGCTCTTTTAGCACAAGGTGAAAAGCAAAATATTATTGTATCTGTGACTTACTACCTACTAAGCCATAATGGCTAATTTATACAGTAAATTTATCTTTGAGAAAAGCTATTTTCCTAACAAATGTTACCCTTCAAGTTACAGTGAAGGAAAAGTCCGCATCTCCCAGTACAGTCTTACTGAAGTTAAAATGCTTTTTACCATGCTCCTACTTTTCTCCCCTGCAGCCTGGAACTTTTAGAATACAAAAAAGCAAAACCAAGTCACTAGTACCTTAACTGAAATACTACCTCCTAAGCTGCTGAGATCCTTAAAACCAAATATCTGTATTTTGAGTAACTCTCATCTACCTTATTGTACCTAGTCATGATGTAAAAGTACATAATGATCCTGATAAACTTGTCTTCTAGGAATTAATCATAAATTCTTCCTGCTCTGCACTTTTCCTTTAATTTGTGTCTCTCTGATAACATTTAAAGTCAGGTATTGGCACCTCTGACTGAGCAAACAGCTTACTTCAGATAACCTCCTGTTTTGCGCACTTACGGAACTCACAAAATCCTTTTTCTTGGAAGCCGTGTTTAAACACAGGCAGTCATGCACAGACACGTCTGTGTTGGTGTTTATTCTTTCCTTTTCTTCACCTCTAGTTAACTTACTTTCTAAATAGAAACATCCATTCCAACTCAAGGCCAGGGTGCAAAGGTATCTTTTACTTTCTCTCTGCTACCCATAGGCAGAAGCAACTGTGACCTTTCTGAAGAAAATCAACAAAAAACCCAAATAAATTAATTGGTCCATAACACTATAGGCAAGGAAGAACCAAATAGGCATCAGCAAGTATGCTGATGCTGTAGCAAGTGAGATGGTTTGTCTTCCACTGGATATTAAAATAGCATAGTATAACAAAAGTGCAGTTAACACTTCTAGGTGAAAGTCCAACAAATCTTCCAAGACCACGAAAGCATGTTAATCATATGAACACGGAGCTGAAATTCAAACACAAAAAATAACAAGTGGCAAGAAAGTTACGGAGACTAAAGCAATAAAAAGCAGGAAGAATATTGGCACCAGATCCCCCTACCTTTTTTTTTGCTCCCCTCTCCTTCAGTGAATTGAAACAGTCTCCACAGCAGTAGCAGATCCAGAGCCTGGACAAACACCATCCCAGAAACATGGTTAAGGTCAAAAAGAATGTGTGCTGCCAAGCTAGTGTAAGAGCTTGTGTTGACAGCTGTGAGGTTTGAAGGAATTAATTCCTCCAGAAGCATAGGCAAACTTCTCTTCTGCAGGGAGCAGGCAGCAGTCTTCATCCCATAGGTGGATACTTCCCGAGGCATCACTGGAGCAATTCTAGACATCAAAAAGGTTATTCCCAAGAATTATTTACACTTCAGTATGCCTAAAGAGCCATTTTCTAAAGAGATGGCGGAGTCAACAGGGTAAATACTTTATGCTGAATGGGGAGTTTTAAGAAAAAAGGATAGTTTAGAAACGAGACAGACAGACTAGAGGTGAGCTAGGAACAGAGAGTATTAGAGTATTTCCAAACAAAATACAGGGAAAAAGACAGATCAGGTTGGAACACCAGACTTCTGTGAAGTTTACTTTAGAAGCTTTAAACCATAAAGCAACCCTTATGCATGTTGTTTCTTCACATACACAAAACCAACACTAACTTCTGCAGTTTTCAACAGTATATTCACTGAACATATAAACACTAAAGAAGTGATACCTAGAGCTTCTGCACTGTAACATAACTGTGCAAGGAACAAGGGTGCCAAATGCTTCTCTGTTGCATATGCACAGATTGTCCTTTGGCTTTCACGGACAACAGACCACAAGAACAAAGAATAGCATTGGTCACAGAAGTTCAAGTATTCTTTGTGTACCCAGATAAACTCAGTAGTCTATAGGCCTCCAAATTTGAATTCCATGTCCTAGAAACATCCCACAGATGCAAAAATACCAGATACCTGCACTGCCTAACACTGGACTGTCATGGAGACAGAAGATGCATATGTAAGCTAATTTGAGGGAAAAAAAAGTAGTCAAACTTATAACAAAATATGTATTTTGTAAATTAAATGGAGTACACAGAAGATAAGGATTCTGCCATGAGTGGAAAACAACTGGTTTGCAGAACAACAGCTTGATGCATTTGCCATAACCAAATGGAGCTACCCTACGTTACCAGAAAATTTTAAACAGTGATATTAAAACATTAACCAGATGTGAAATAAAGCTTTTAATACCACCAATAATTAGCCAGGCAGCAGCAATCCAAAAGATTCAGGGTACATGTTTGCCTTTCTTTCCTTCAGTTTTTGTTTGGTAACTTCTCTCTTCTTGTTTTGTATTAAAGGCCTTCTCAGACTTTCAGCTTGAGAGAGAAATGTCTAGATTACAGAAATGTATGTTATGCCTGCCCACTTGTTCCTACTCATTTGTTTACCATTTCATCTAAAACATTCCCTTACTCCCCATTCGTGCGTGCTTCGTAGCCTTTCACACAGACTAAATTACACGGATTTCCACAGCATGCAGCTCCTTTGTTATCACTGTGCCCAGGAACACATTGCTTCCTGTCCCCAACCATTCCAGTTGCTCCAAAAATCTTTAAAGTCTGTTGTGCATCTCTTTTAAGACTACATTATTATTAGCAAAAGGAAAAATCTTAGAACAGTTCAGAAGCATCCATAACATTTAATATATATTTCATGTGTGTCATTTTTTGCCACTCACCTAACTCGGGGTAAACAAGCTAATCAAGAACATCAGCGTCACTTAAGCATTTGCCCATTTTTTCGGTACAGTAAGACTCGGGTACAGAGCATTTAAATTCATTTCAGAATGTCCATCTCCTTTTCAAATGCTTCCTTATAAGGCAAGGCAATATTCAAATCTCAGTTTTTAAGCCAAATAGGAACCACCAGATAAGCAGGGTATACAATTCCAAGTATTACTATTATGCATCAGCACAGGGAGTATCCCATCACCTTCTCCTTCCAATGGACCAAGTCTAGAGCTTCAATGGGACTAATCTTTTTTTAAAAAAGTCGGTAAAGTTGTCCTGAATTATGAACGTAGTAATTTCTGGTTCCTGCTCACATTGATTTGAATTTCACTGATGACTAAGTAGCAGACATCTTTGTCAACACAATTTCTCCCTTAATTTGTAATTTTTCTTAGTATATATATATTCATTACATTATTTTCTTTTTCAGTTAAAATTTCTTTTCCTTTCAATTAACAGCTAAGGTAGCAGTAAGCCTGGGAGTGCTACAGTTGTAGTATGCAACTGTTGAAACACAAATCTGATAAAGGAGTATCAATGAAATGCAAACGTTAATCCATTCCACACAGTAACCTCACATCATCAGTACAACTGTGCTTCTCTATTAAATATTTTTAATAGAAAAATGCTATAGTAAATATGCTAATGCACACTTAATTGGAACAAAATCAGATATATAATTATTTGCATTAGGAGGGAGTCCAAAGGCTACAGAGAACTGGAGATTGAGAAGTTTCTGTCCAGAGACAGGAAGAGACTGCAAAGAGTTGGAGGTAGGAACAGCAAACTTTTATACTTGTAAGGGCTGAAATTCAGTTTACCACATGACTATTAGGAATAAAAAAGTGTTTAAAACTACAAGATTGAGTCTGATGTAGAAAAAGAGAAAACCATGGTACAGATACACATTTGCAATGACCTCAACAGATACTTACTGTGCTGTTCAAATGAGAGCAATAGTCTGTTCTTCTGGTTTCAAAAATGGTTACTTACCAATCTGCAGTTTGCAGCAAAGGACATTTAGCATAGATACAAGACAAAAAAATCAATGGTAAACATAATACTTGGAACAGTCTAGCAAGCAAGTCTGTGAACTCCTTTCTCACTTGAAGTGAGGGAAGCAGAAGTTAACCAAAACCTAAATATGTATCTTTTGATGTCCAAAGGTAGGATTTAGAGAACCGTAACCTATCAGTCTGGAAAGGTATTAGAAGAGATACTAAAGCTTTATTACTTTAATAGACTGGGCCACTGACATGTAAAGCTTTCAACATGTAAATTATGCTCCAGTTTCAGCACAAACTAAAGATTTAGACTGATCTGAAAACTGTTACCCCCGACTTTTCTTCTGTATGGTTTCCAGTTTCTAGTGGTCTATAAGTAGCCTACTGTCAAAAATAAATTAATTTGACACTGATAAGGCAGCTGGCATTCCTATGACCACACTGGAACAGTCACTGCTGTAAAGTCGGACAAATGAGCTGTCAGTATATTATATTCATACTTAGAGTGAAGAAAATATTTTTAAGGGTTTCTTGATTGGAGTTATTCAGTGGAATGTATATATCTAAAAAGAACAAAGTTATCTATTTGATATCTCAAAATTCGTAGCTCAACTCTTTCACTGAAATCCTCTTGGCCAGGTGCCCAATTAAATGTATTCCACATAAATACAAAAAACAATTAGCAAGACATTAAAACAAGCAGCACTAACATTTGTTGAGAATATAGTGCAATCTTATGAGACTCAATTTCATTATTTCAATTTGATTAGCTGTGCAATAACTTTAACACTTGGATTAATATATTATTAGCAGAGGGTACCAAATGGACAAATTTATAGACAGAAAGATGCAGTAACAAAATAGACAAATATACTGGCCAGCATGAGCTGCTAAGCTTTTTTGATGTCCTCCTCCATCATTCTGAAACAGCCATTTCTTGCAATACTAATCAGTGCAACCATACTCAGAACCCTGTAACTGAAAGACCTTTGCATTTGCAACATTACTCTAAACACACTTAGACAATATTGAGAGAATATATTATATTAATGATTGTTTTTAAACAAAGTTTTCCAATGATCACTCATTCACAAGTTTTTAAATAAAAGTTTATTACAGAAATTATTTTGAACAAAAAAGGCAACAGTATCAGTTGTAATTAAAAAAAAAAAAGAAGTAACATTGTATTCATGCCCTATAAGGTGAACTGAAGAAATGCTACAGGTATTTCTTCCACTGTCATTCTGTGACGCTTTCTAGTATGGATTAACACATCTGCATCACAAGAATTAAGTATGAACACAGTCCCTTTCCATGCTTCTCTCCAGAAAGTGCTGCGTATCAACAGAAAATATTGCAGACAAACCACAGTTCTATTCATTCTGCAGTATTGGAACCAGTATCTAGGAAAGAAAAAAGAAAGTGAGTAACACATACCCCCACTACAGCTGAATATAAATTAAAGAGAACCAATACCATTCTCTAACACCTTCCACAAACTCAAAAGCATTCCCCAAGCATTTTAGAACATGTTCTGTACCTACCCAGTTCCTTCCACTGCTATCAATGCGATGCATGAACTGCTTGTGCTGTTTCACTTCAGTTAGCAACATTGAAAATGGCCAGCACAACACTTCAAGGTTGTGCACACACATCATTTGCTATTAAGGCATTAAGAATACAAGGAGCTTTGCTTTAACTTGTAGTGATACACACACACTTCACTGCAGTCAGCCACAAGCACATCTGGCTAAATCACATGATCTGAGAAAGGGGTTTGCACATCCAGTAGCATAAACTCCTATGGAGTGTGGGCTATAGTTCATTATGCATTTTGAAACAGATGCAAGAATGAGCATGATCTTCATAAAATAACTGAGAGGAAGTCTCTGTTCTGAACTTGTGGCAGACACACCAATTAAGACCAGTGCAACTTCTGGTATTACTACTATTACTGCTTTCTTGTTCTTAGACCTATGGAAAAAATAGGTAACTTGGATATGCAGAAAGACAGGTCAGTGTTTACTACATCCCTTTAGCAAGTCAAATTCTGGTGGGAAAAAAGGCCGTAATGTTAATAGCAACTTTAAGTCACCTAGTTCTTTAAATCTTATCTGCATACTTTATCATGAGTGAAAACGATCAGTACTTGGAAAGTAAGGTTTCTTCTACTAGCTACAATAAGCACACAAAAAATAAACAGAGTAAGATTATGCTTGGCTAATACCAGAAGTTGAGCAAACAATAAATTCTGTCAACTGTTTAGAACTACAAGTCACTTGAAGTGACTACTCTAATCACACCTGGATCAGGAAGCCATGAAGAACCTGTTTCAGAGGTCTAGGGTATATTTAAATAAAGCCTTTTCCATTCTCAGTTCTTCCTTTTAGCATCACTCCCCGGGAATGAAAAAAGTGGCACCATTTCACACATCTTTAGCAATCTTCTGCCACATCAATGGTCTTAAAAGTTATAAACCAGCTTGCCACAAAAGTCACTCAATGACTTTTTCCAGTAAAGAATTTCAAGGAACATTGACAAAAGTAATCCAGTCAAGCAGATATGGAACATAAACTCCCATAAGCAGTGTACATACAGTGGCCCTGTTGAACAATATATAAATCTTACAATATGATTTGCAAATGCTAGCACAAGCTTTTCATGTGCTTGGGTCGTCTACTATCAAATCCAGCGAACAACTGCTTAGACAGTTTTCTCGGACAATTGCTTGCTCAGGCTGATGAAGCGCTCCTTGAATTCAATAAAACATGGTGCTGTTCTAACAAACAGGTTAATCCTAGAAAAATCACCACACAGAAATTCAGTTAAGATTATTTCCAGCTTTCTAATTGCTCTGCTAGTATGTACTTCCCAACAACATTGGGAACTCTAACACATTCCTATTTCAGTGCTTATGAGTTAGGGAAGCATTCAGCTTACTTTTGTTTCATTTCTCATCATATGTTAAAGGGAGTGCAGAGCCCTACTTTTGTCTGAATACAATTAATCTAGCTTTAATCAGACATTTGGTCAAAGCTTTCTATAAATTATCAAGTCTTGTGTTTCAGCTTATTTATATCATATTCCATACTTACTTTTTCCATCACATGCTACAATTTTCACTTTATCCACTTTCACAAGTTCAGTGACCTCCCTAAATTCAACATCATTCAGTACAAATGTCCATACGTTGTCACAGAACCTGTACGTATTCAGAGACCCCTTTAAAAAGACAAGAGACATTTTCTATAGGATGCATCCCAAAAGTAACAGAAAATATGACGTTTACTATCTACTGAACTATGTACCTCTAGAACTAGGTTTGCCATAAAGCCAACTGTGGACCTGAATACATACAAACTTGGCAAGCAAGCAGTTCTGAGGAGAACTGTAGTTTAAATGCCCTCCAGTGGCTGAAATTTTCAAGACCATGTAGGGACGTTATAGTCTATCCAAGGGGAAGCTTCACAGGTACGCTAAGAAGCTTTATAACTTTTCTAATGTGTATAAAGAATCAGTATCAGAAAAGATTTCTTAAAGCATGGGCTATAAGAAAAATCAGTTACAGCAGTGATCATAACAAGACGTGAATTCTGCAATTGTTTAAATAAAGCGATAGTTTAAATACAAAATCATGACAAAACTGACCTATGTGACATAAAGGGGTATGCCTCATCTTTGACATTATTACTGAGGATGTTGATATGTAAACCTTTTGGCCTTCACCTTCACGTATTTTAAACTGATACTCTTGAATTTAAGCTCCAAGTAACATTTTTTTAATTTATCCGGTAAACACATTCTGAACAGTTTTCTATACCACGTTACATAGACAAAGCAAATTAAGCGTGTTCAAGAAAAGTTATGCTCTTTTTAACGCATCTATATGGTTTAAAATCTTAAGTCGTCACTTCATTAATGCATTCTGCATAGACTGTAGAGGAAGTAATAGGACATAAGTTAACAGGACAACTGTTTTGGTTTTGGTTTTTTCTCAAAATTACAACCAAGTTGACATTTAACAGTTTGCTGGCTATCTGACGTTGATTAGGGTGGCTGGCTGGGCAAAACCCCCAAACCTATTTTTCTATGATATCTACAGAAAATAGCTACAAAATGATCCAGTGACTTGCATACAGGTAGATCTACAACTCTGTAGTCTCTCTTCACATTACAGATGTGGCTGAAATTCTGGCCTCATCTCACTTCTGCTAGGTATAACTAAGAGAAGCAGAAGTCTCTCTCCCCATCTGCAAGACACTGAGGATGGCAATGCTACCCATCAGAGCATTTCCCTCTTGCCCCTCCCCTGTTTTCATCCACCCAGCAAATCTGTTTCTGATTTTTGCATTCCTTCAAAAGATCCCTGGCAAAATAAGATTAACAAGCCTTACAACTGCATACAGATTATAAATATAAATGTAAAAAGTCATTATTGCAAAGTCAAAATGAACCTTCTTAAGTTTTTGTTTAGAGCACACAGCTTTTAACAATGTTCTGCATCAATGCTTAGTTGGTGTACCTCATGAAGAACTTTTATATATTGTTATCTTACCCTGAAATTGACTCTGTTCCTGACTCGTTGTGCCAGTGCTGAATTTATGGCTTTATCAAACTGAAGTAGCACCTGGAGGGCCAGCTGAGGCGTGATTTGCTGTGACTAGTTTAAAAAAAAAAAAACAACAGTTTTGAGTTGGTTCAAAGTAAACTCAAAAATGCAATAAAAATCAAAAACATCAAAACAAAGTTAATGTGAAACAGATCTCTAGAAGAACAACTTACAGAAGTATTATGTTCCTGTGTTTACTTCCTTTTTCCTATTTTAACTCTGAGAGAAGAAACAATGTGCTAACATGATTTTTTTTGTGCTACACAAAGATTTCTTCTGATAAATATTCATTGGAAACAATCAGAAGAGCAGGAACTCAATTACAGCATTCCAGATTAATCTAACAGTTCACTGACTGGGCCACACAACAGGGGATTATGCCACCTACATAAAACATTTTCCTTTATCTAGAACGTTAAGAAAAAGCCTTCCCACACGAACGGAGCACTAATAGCTTTTGATTTCAATGGGCAAGTTTTTCAAACGTTGCCCACAGGTACCCCGATACAGCAACCACAAAGCCGTTTTAATAACTAGCCTTTTTTATCAAGCTAATTGCCCAGACCGTAAACCCTACACGCACCTGTATGAGCTCATCCAGGCTCTCCTGAAGACTGTTCCCCAGCGTGGTGTTTCTATACAGCTGATACGCCATGGCTTACCGAGACAGGCTGGACACCTTCCTGATCATCCACGGCAATAGACGCCCGTTATGTCCTCACTCTCATTCAAAAAAAAAAAAAAAGAAAAAAAAAAGGAAAAAAATCTAAAAAAACCACAACGGAGCCCTTAATGAACAACGCGCAGCAGGAGCAAACAGAATTTAAAAAAAAAAAAAAAATCATTCCTCAGACACTGACCAACGATTAAGAGCGCTCAAGAGCACGGGGCATTAACGACCAGCAGGAAAACCGGGCCGCCAGGGAAGGCAGAAGGGACGGAGCCTCGTCACTGCCCGGCCGACACCGACAGGCCTTTGTGGCCCACGGGCACGGAAGCGGCGCGCCGGAACGGGGCCGTCTTTGTCCGCCGCCCGTTCGGCTTCCAAACCCATCCCCGTCCCCCCCGCGGCGCCGGCCGGCGCGCTTAGGAAAGCCGCGACGGGAATTTCTGGCGAGCGCTGGGCACTGAGCGGCCTACACCCCGCCCGCGCCG